AATACTGTAACTTGCTGCCATCAGTGTGTGACTGCATGTGTGAATGAGAGGCAAATTGAGATATAAGTGCAGCCATTTACCATTTAAAATTAGGATAATATTAAACTGTAGAAGCCTGCTATAGCTGTTATAAGAACTATAATAACCTTTTCTTCTGCTCCTCCCTCGCCCTTTATCCGCCCTTTAGATCCTGTGCGGCAGGGAGATCCCACGCTGGGTCAACCGCCTGGCCTACTTCAGCTCCTGCGTGCCATTCCTCCAGAGCTGCCTGCCCAAAGAGTGGCTGACCCCGGCTGCCTTACAGTCCAGCGTCAGCCAGGAGCTGCATGGAGGAGGAGAGCTGGAGGAGGCCGAGGACGCCGCTGCCACTGCCTCCCTGGCGTCCATGTCGCCCTGCTCACCCTCATCCTCCAGCCCACCCTCCTTTCCTCGTCATTCCCGCCACCAGCCCCGCCGGTAGAAGCTGCAAGGTCTGCTGGGAAACTTTGGGCTGGGCTTGTGGTTACAGAGACCGTAAGGTAACAGAATACCTGCAGCAGCTGATGAATGCAGCTACAGCCAAAAGTCCTGTCAGACTGTCCTCGAGTAAGGCACTGAACAACTACCTGCTCATTGTAGGAATGTCTGCCAAATCTCTACAGTGATCCAGAGCAGTGGGAGCAGAAGGGTTTTTCCTCTCAGGGGGAAGGAACTCCTGCTGCTGACAAAGGCACGATCGTCTCTCAGTGAACATGGCTGATGGATTCCAATATCACATCCAAAATCCAAAAACTATTTCCCCTCAAGTCTCTTTCATTATTTTACCAGCCAACATGTGGTGCAGAATGGAAGCAAGGCCGGTTGTTTACCCATCAAAATGTTTCATCATTTAGGAAAAATTACCAGCCACATCCAGATTTTACAAGCTGTTAGTTGGTGGATGGTGCTAATCCCCACTTTTTTATAGTGGAAACCTGTAACAGAAGGTATGCAGAGTTTTTAACTTGAGCCCAAGCTAAAGGAGGTGACCTTTATCAACCTGATATGTCAGATTTGATGTTTAGATGTTCCGAAAATTATTTGACCATCTAACAAGTTCAATCTAAACCTCTAGAGGTCACCCGATTATTAAAAGGATAAGAAAGAAAACATTTATGTTACATAAAATAATGATTATTATTTCTGCCACTTTGTTTTCTTGTGAAATACGGCATAGTTTTACCTCTTCAAGCCTCTAAAAATTGTTTAAATAAAACAAACCAAGAAGGAAAAGTCACTTGGATGCAGTTTGTTGAAATGCTTATGTTCACACGACCATGACCGGTGATGAGGGGTCACAAGTAGACATTGCTTACTGGCGTAAAGGCGTCACATTATCACTGCGCACGCCTCCTCCATGTGTATGTGACGTGTTGCGACGGCTCTGCGGGTAAAACCATGGTGAGTTGAGCGGGTGGGGGGGTGTGCGGAAAGTTTTAAATTTGTCGTAGTTTGACCTGAGCTGAACTTTTGTGGGTGCAGCCAATCGTTGATCGGCAAGACGGATGAGAAACGAATGAAAAATGATGTTCTCGTTAGCGGAATATCAGAATGTAGATGTAGCTACCAGGGTTGTTACAAAAACACATTCTGAGTCTCAGAAAGGTATATCGATCTGCTGCTTGCAACATTAGCATATTTAGTACAGCACTACTAAAAACTGCGCAAACCCCTTTTTTTCTGCTGTAATGTAAATACACTTTAAACGGTATTTTCATATTGAACATCCAAACAATCTGAGCTTTGTTTTGGAGAAACTAGAGGACGTTAAAAAAACTACTGTATTTGTCTCAACACTTAGCTTTAGTAGTTGCATTTCGACCCACATCAAGACACTGAATCCTAAACGTAGTTTTAAATTACCATTAGCCAAGCTCTGGTATAACTTCTGTGGCTGGTAAATGTTTCCACTGCCGCCAACTGTAGTTAAGATGTCCTAGATAATTGGCTGGTAAAATTTTGAAAGCAGCAGGTGGAGTTTGGAATCTAAACACTTTGCATCAACGTGCATGTGCTTCAGGACCTCAGCCTTTTAGTATTTTCTTTTCCTCTCACAGCAAGCTGGATAGACTCAAGCCAGAACTACAATCAGTGTCACTTTCCTCAAACGCCACATAGACATGAATAAACATATCCAGAGCCAGTGTCTAAATGAGGGGAAATCCTTAACACAACTTGAATGGGTTCAGTTCTAAGTAATCCCCTAAGTCCCTTTTTATGTCAAATCTGTATCTGCAGTTGTCTGTTATCTGTAGCAGCTCTTAAAATCCTACCTGCCCGTCGTGGAATAACCTCACATCATTTAAGAAAATTTAACCCAATGAAGATGATTTAAACCTCAGTCTGTAATGTAATAATTACAAAATAGCAACAGTTATTTCTTCACCAAGACTGTAAAATAGTTTTGTTTTTTCTAATTTCAGAATTAGGTTGCAGGGCAGGCAAGACTTTATGTGACCAGAAGGTTCTGGGTTTAAACCTCAGAGTAAAAGAGAGAACTCCTTCTCAGTAGCAACTGCCAAGGTGCCTTTGAGCAAGGTACTTAACCCACAAGTGCTCCAGCGGCCAGCAGTAGAAGACTGCGGTTATACTGGACAGCTCCCAGTTGTAAGTTGTTAAGCAAATTGTTTCATCGTTACCCGAAGGATCACGTTATGTTTACATTAAGGATGTGTCGTCAGCCAATAACGGTTTGTGATCTACATAAATGGCTGAAGAAGACGGGCACTTGAAGTAAAAAGGAAATTAATTTGAGGAAGAGTGTGTCTTAAATGGGAACTGAAACCATCTTTAACTGACCTGCTGTCAGGCTGCACTCCTGACAGTCATTTTCTTCACATCTGTCTCCAGTTAGGTATGACGCACATTGGTGTTAATTTAGAGCATCACAAACACCTTCTGTCTGAAAATACTCACTCGATCATTTACTCAGACAAGTCTTTAAACTTCTTAATCATCCTAAAAAATGTTTAAAGTACTTTACAAGAAGATGCTGCATTTTTCACAAATGATGAGCACCTCATCTTAAAGTCTATATATGCCGTCAACATCAACATGTGTGCTGCATAATGTGTCTTGTCCCAAACAAGAGCCATGGATGTGTTGAAAACATATTTCTCAATGGATTTTTGCCTGTTTTGTTGCAAGGCTGAGGACTGGACTACAAGCAGGAAACCTGTTTTTTTTTTGTTGTTGTTGTTTTTTTTTTAGTTCTTTAATGTATTTATATGATAAATGGACTCTGGCCTTTTTGTCTGTTTTGTTTATGTTTGATAAACTCAGGACTCCAAAAGGCTTTGTAATATAATAATCCTTTTAACTTTTTTATCCTATGTTTTATGTTTGCGTCACTGTTGCTTTTTTCTAATGCAGTAGTCACTCCATAGAGGTTTTCAAAAACGCGCTGCGGCAGTGCAGTTTTATATTCCTCTCTTTGATTAAAAAAAAAAGGAAAAAAAAAAAAAAGAGCTCCTGTTTACAACCTGGATGTTTGTATGCGAGCCTGTGCTGCTCTTTGTTTTCCTGTCTGTGCATGAATGTGTTTGTGTGTTTGTGTGTGGGCGCACTTGTATTATAAATGGTTGGTATCAACAAGCTGCCATCTGGGCCACATTTCCCTACATCAAACACAACAGATACTCTGCCAAAGAGATCCACCTGAACAAATGTAGCAGTGTTTCCACACTTAACAAACTGTTGCTGCATCATGAAGAGACTGGATTTCTTTAAAGCAAGTAAACTTTTTGTCCTCAAGCTAAATCTAGGACATTTTTCAGTGACATTATTTTGGTGCAGTGGCATATCATTTTGTAGATTTCAACAAACAAAACAGAAGCAGTGTTAAAAGCAAGACATTTCTCATGAAACCAGCATATTTATGTGATTAGGAGTGAAAGGTTTCAACTAAATGTATTGTAAAATATATTTGAAATGTTACTTTTTACGTTTTACTAAGTCTGACTAAGGAAAAGTAAACTTTATTTTTAATGCACAGACTCAGCCTGATGCGCACACACACACAGTGCTCATGTCGGCGCCCTCTGCTGGCTGTTATTTGTACTGTTACTTGTCTGTGGTGGTGCACAGACACTGAGGTTTCCCTGACCCATCACAGCTTCAGATAGTTTTCTGCTGGTATCTGATAATTGTAATATCTATTGAAAAATGAACATTATCTCATCAAACACTAATCATCCACCAGCTAAATTAGACTGACCAATAATTGTAGCCTTCCATTTAAAAATGCTGAGAGAAAATTGTTACTTTATGTTCATATCTTAACATTTTAAGTACCACAAATCATCATTACTGAGACCAAAGATACCTATAACTTCCCCAGTCATTTTTGTATTAACAGCCATTGACTAGTCATTACATGTATCCAACCTTTTAAATGAATGTCTTATTTTGGGATGAAACCCTCATTCTTTGAATAAAGGTTATTTCATTATAATAGTAAATGTCCTGTCAAAAGATTCTTTGTGGGACATTTGTGTGAGCTATGAATGTAGATTGGGAAACCTCAGTCATTCATACCCCACAAAAACTGACTTCAGCTGTTTCACAGTGAACTTTCACAGAGCCTTCAGAGTACTGGACCTGATTTGTACCCTGTTGTAAAGTTATTAAAGAAAAGTATACAATCGTGTGACGGCTTTGATAAATTTGTTTATTTTTTATGCTACTCTGTCAGCTGGGATTGGCTCCAGCCCCCCGCAACCCTGTACGCAGGATAAGCAGTTGATGATGGATGGATGGTTATGCTACTCTACATTTAGTCCCAGAATAATGCTTTGGATGATTAAGGTTGTTTCTCTCTCTCACATTCTTGAAGAGATGAAGATAATAGATACAATTAAATATGAAGCTATAGGGTCAGCTGAAGGTTAGCTTAGCAAAAGGTTTGCCTACTAGCTCCTATAAAGCTACAAAAACTTAAGTGTAAAAATCTGTGAGGTTTGGTGTCAAGAAGTAGTCCAGGGTTGTGTCTGAAATCACTACCTTTATTATAGACAATAGTGAGATGTAAATTGAGATTTCGGACACTTGGCCTTTTCTTTTCAGTATGTTAAGTAAAAACTAATGAAAATTTGGTTAAACTTTAATCAGGTCACCAAAATATACAGTATTTCACGTGAATTTGGTTATCAGTTGGTGTCTCAGGTGAAGCTTAGTCCGCCACTAGGTGGAGACAAATACCCATCAATGACAGAGCTGCAGACATCCGTGGAGTCTGACTGATATTGAAAAACAACATACAGGTCAGTTTTGTTAAACAAGTGGTTATGACTCTTAGTATTAGCTTTTCAGGCTGTAGTTTTATTAGATTATAAAGCTCATATAAAAAACAAAATAAAACAAAATACTCGCAGTGAATCTTCAACACTGTCATAAATTCCTGCACTGTACCCTAAAAATTAAGAAAAGCTCTGTGCTTTTTTTGTTCTGCAAATTTTAAGATACAAAAGTTAATAAAACACATTTGATTCATCGACATTGTAAGCAGTTGCCAAATGTTGAAGAAACAATGAGTTTGATGAATTCAGAAGCATTGTACATTTGGAGATGCCCCCTCTTTGACTACTGTTGTCTGGGAACAAACTTGAGTTTTACTGGCTTTTTTGGCTGGAACTTCCAGTCCAATTCTAAAGGAATCTAAAGAAAGAAAGAAATGTAAAATCAGGGACATGATAGCAGAGTAGTCAGTCTGAATGTGTGCCTTGCAGTGCGTGGAGCTCTTACCATGGTGTCTTTGCATGTTTCCAAAGTGTAGCTCTGCAGAAGACGGACAACAACCATCTTCAGTACGAGGACAGCGTAGCGCATCCCGATGCAGTTACGAGGACCAAGCCCAAACGGCATGTACACGTACGGGTTCACCTCTTCACCACTGTCTTTGCTGAACCTGCAAATACAGACACAGATACACAAGATCATTTCTAATTTTATGTTTTTAGCAGTACATGCAGTGCCTGCACATTTGGCTGAAAGGCTGGTCTGATGCTTGGCTCTTGAGATCGTCATGAGTACTGTTCTATATAGGTACTGTCACAAGCTCTCTGAGCAGCAAACATGCTGATTTCTCCATCAGTATGATTGTCACCAAAGTGGTTCTAGTGATGAACAACACAGTAAACAAAGCCAGAGTACTTATCCACATAAACATAAACAGAAGGGGTTTCCTTTAACTTTTCCATACTGCATACAACAGACACACTAAATGTAAGAAATGTACACTAAATATTTGTCATGTCATTCTTTGTATAGCTTGTATTTTACGTGGTGAATAAGCCAAAATGGGAACACTTAAAGCAAGACAATGTCACTTTTGAAAGATGATTTAAAAGTTGAGTCTATAAGCAATAAAATACATCCTTGCCCTTGTCAGTACACTTGTCGCATCTTGTCTACTTGTGCTACTGTTATACTAAATTTTAGCATTTACCATTATCCCATAATGTCACTTGTGGCCACTGTTTACATTTTGTCAGTTGCTGTTTACGAGGTCAAGAATGAACATTTATTCCCAACTTTTAAGCCAACATGGACAAGAAATGTCCACTAAAAATGGAAATATACAATTGCATGACCACTGTGTAACTCTGTCTGTTATAGAAGATTGTGATATGATATATATGAGAGGTCCAGAACAGCTACTGAGTGGACCTTGTGGTGAGATTTTGTCAAAAGTTACATAGTCAAGAGCAATGTGCCACATTTAAGTAATTACATTTTCTGGTTCCATCTCATTTACCTCTCTGGTTTGAAAAGCTCAGGTGAGCTCCAAAAGCGTGGGTCCTTGTGTAACATGTGCACAGGAATCCCAACCAGCGTTCCTTCTGGGATGGTGAGGCCGTGGACCTGGACTGTTTTCTTGCACATTCGCTCAAGCCGAGGCGCAGTGGGAAGCAAACGCTGTGACTCACAAATAACCTGGTCCAGGTACTGGAGACCGACAAGACCCTCGTATGAAACAGGAGCCTAGGGGCAAAAGGTAAAGTGGGCATCAAACACACAAAATGAACAGAAAAGGATTAGAACAATATGTCAGCTGTTAAAAGTCAGTCATAAATGTCAACATCACATGCAAAATTACGGTACATCTCTCGGTAGGCTGGCATCGATTTCTTCCTGCAAGATCTGCATCGCTTCAGGGTTGGCGGCCAGATTGTAAAGGATGTAAGTGAGAGTGGTACTGGTGGTCTCATAGCCACCAAAAATGAAAATCAGGGCCTGGGTAAGTATCTCGTGATCAGTCAAACCTATAACAAAATGAAGCACAAGCCAGAAAACTACTTTCACAAGCTGAGACATTTGAACACATACAGTGTATTAAGATATTTAAGACAGCTGTATAACAGACTGTGGCTGCATGTTACTGAATGCATTATTTGTTTTCCATTTTTTAACTCTTCAGTTAAACTTTCTTGTTTTCCAGTGAAGAAGAATGCCCTAATGAATAGATTCATGTGTTTCTCCTGAGCTTAATGACTTGATGAAGGGGAAGAACAAAGAACAGAGTGCTGATACACTTTGAGAGTAGACCTTTTTACTCTTAGTGTTACCTTGACTTTTACTAATTACTACTGTGGTGAAAACATACCTTTACTCGGCTGATCTTGTTCACTCTTTATCACCGATTCTGGTATCTCGTTCTGAATCATCACCTGCAGGAAGTCTGCTCGAATCTAGATCAGCACAGAGAGCATTCAACATGGGCACAAATTGTACACAACTGGCTTAAAAAGAAATATTGATTTGAATGAGAGAGATAACAGCAGAAATAAGGTAGCAAGTATAGAAATACGCTTATAAACTATCTTGCCAAGAGTTCAATGAGAAGATTTATAATACTTTAAATATGAAGCTGTAAAACAGCTAGCAAAATGTGTGACTCTATCTATATACTTATGAGGCACCATTTTCAGTGATGGCTGCTCGTTATACAATCCTGTGTTGTAAAATGATAAATTAATCTGCCTTGTACCTCGGAATAAAATTAAGTATGTGATCAAGTATGATCAAAGCGGCTGCCTTTGCCATATAGCTGAAATTCCTAATTGGGTCATAGATTTTGTGCAAAATAAGGTGCCGTGACTTCCTTGAGTAAAAAAAAACACAACTTGTCATAAGCTAAGCTAAGCCAACAGACGACTGGTTTTAGCTTCATATTTAGTGTACAGTCATGAGAGTGGTAATGAACTTTTCTGCTAACTCTTGGCAAAAAGGCGCATAAGCATATTTCCCAAAATGGGAATCATTCTTTTTTTTCTCCACTGGGTGCAGATGAAATGCTTACAGATTCCTCTGCATGATGCTGGTCTTTAAATCTCTTGATGACGTTGTAGAAATACTCCATACTGAGTCTGGGCATTATGTCAATATGCAGGAGCCTAAACAGACGTTCACTTAAGGGAAATATCACTGAAAGGAGACCAAAGGGTTGTTTATTAAAATGTGCAAACTAATTATCCCCTGATGCTCATATGATCAAATGATCTCCGCCTATTAGGGAAGTGAAAGCAGTACATACTTAGTACAATGAAAGGCCACAATTTGAAGTTAAGAATCTTCTTAAGATGAATAATAAGTGGGTCATCTGGATTGTTTATAGAGTCTGCCTCAACACCGAAAGACGCACTGGTCACAACATCCAAACTGTAAGGTGCGACAAATCTACAACAGAAACAAAGAGGTGGTTTTCATTTAGGAATTACATGATATAAGTGCTACCATGTTCATTTATTTTACAACAAACATCGTAATGGCATGCTGCAATATAACAGATTAATGACATACTGTTTGACATCAACGGATTCATCTGAATTTGTTTGTCCAAGTTTTTCAACAAGTCGATCTGCATAGCGAGCAATGATGGGAAAAACCTTCAACAAAGAAGAGTGTGGTGTTGATAATGTACTTTACATATTTATTTCTATTACTGATGCCAACTTCTCTCTGTGCATCTACAGTACATATGCATATGTGTAGACACACTTTAGACACATATATGTAGACATACTGCAGACCATGTATTTGTATTGCTGCACTAGGTCATAGAAAGCAGAATAGAGAAGTGGTTAGTGAGCTCTGATTTGATACAAACCTGTTTCATTCGTCCGCTGGTGAAGCATGGTGATAAAGTGCTCCGAATTCTTTTCCACCTTTCATCTTTGACTACTGTAATCCCATCATCCAAAGGTCCAGAAATAATGTTATCCTGTGAACATGAGTACAGCAGAGTTACACACTTCAACCCTCCAACATTTCTCTTTCTCACACCATAAAACTCACTATTTTCTGCTCCAATAATGTCACTTCTTGTAACACCAGTGTCTCTTTCTCTCTTGAAAAGGTGACTCTGGTGATCATAAAATTAAGTGTGTTTTCTGGCTCAGAGATGAATCATTACACTGTACTTAAGTTTAACTTCCTTTGGGTAGAACAGTGTTTTTCCTCTTGATTTGGAAATGATTTATGGATCTACAAAACACGCCAATCCAGGGGATACCATGTTAATGTGTTGTATATTTGGCGTCTATAGTCATTTATTGCTCACATGATGAAAAAATAATTTGTCTATTGGAAACCACCCAGGTGAAGCCAACATGGGGGTTTGGTGAATAAAGCATGGTGTACTAAAGAAAAGTAGGGCAGCGTGTTTTAATTTAGAGGAATTTTGTTACCTTTGGACAGAGCCAGGCTAGCTGTTTCCCCCTGTTTCCAGTCTTTGACATAAGCTAGAGCATAAGCTGCTGGAGATACTGTAGGTTCTTAATTCTATAGACATGAGAGTCATGAGAACATGAGAGACATGAGATCAATCTTCTCCTCTAACTCTTCCTCCACCTCAAAAGGTAGAAACTATTCCTTTAAGTCCTAACAGCTTCAGTGGAGCTGCTTAGTGGCCGGCTGATCAGACTGTGGTTGTATTGGGCAGCTTCCAGGTGTGAACTGTGTGAGTGTGATGAGGGCATTCCTGCAAATGGCAGCTTGGCTCTCAGTGAATAAGTAATGGTTAAATTAATAAGCCCTGAAAAGTCTCTCTTGTTTTGTCAGCTTGATGGAAGGATGCTCCAGTAGGGCACCAGTACAAAAAAATAAAGCTTATTACTTTGAGGTTCTACATATGAACACACACTAACCCCGGTGGTTTGTAGTCATGTTTAGTATGATCATAGTTATCTGCAAATATAAATGTTTAGAAGCCCGTTTATGTTGTAACTATGATGCAGCCTCTGATATTTAGCTTGATATGTGCAGGCAGAAACTCCCACCATACCAGTTTAATGAGATCAATTTAATAAATACGAGATTGTTTCATTTTGCACCACCTGCGATACCTGCGATTTCTTCCTAAGTTTAGCTGTCAATCCATTATAGGGTGCCAAACTGGCCTAATCGAAATGACAAAATCAATCCTGACACAAGAGATTTCTTAATAGAAATTAATTAAATTTCCCCAGTTGGCTCAGAGGATCTGTGTGCAACCTGGTGTATTCGTCAACCATCAATCTCTGAGACTCTATGTAAACTAAAGGATATTTCTACAAATCCAAACTTGCATGAGGAATTACTTAGCTGCCTCTTCTTCCAACATGGCTCAGCAAAAGAAGAGATATGAACTTCAGAATTATTAAATACTCTTTGGCCTGATAGAGTGGACATAATATAGTTTTCTGAACCATATCAGCCTAAAAACATTTGGAAATGTAAAAAAGTATTTGGTTAACTTTATGTATTAAGGCTTTACCATTACAGAATCTTAAGTCCAGTTTTTTTTTTTTTTTTGCATTTCATTTTCACTGAAGTGTTCCCTTATGTCTGGAGAATATCTGTAGGCTGGAGCATCACTGTAGCACCACAATGCTTCATTTATGTACAGTATTTTGTGAAATATTTTCTCTTATCAAACAACTGCAGATAACATGCAACAAGATGAATCTCTTACCCTGCGGTTGGTAAAAGCAGAGAAGCACTCCTTCACCAACACAGTTTTAATAATCTCAGGGTCTGCCACCATTAAAACTGGCGACCGTGCCTCAAACAACCTTCACAGAAACACAACATCACAGTGTATGAGCTTATTGATTGATAGCTTCTGACAAAAAGGAGGTGAGAAATATAGCAAAAATAAAAAAAACATGGAACGTCCAGTAAATACTTTACTCATTTAGACTACTGTAACTCACTTTTTATTTGCATTACTCAGTCTTCCCTAGGTTGTTGGTAATTGGTACAAAATGCAGCAGCTATTAACAAAGACTAGACTTTTGTTCCCCATCACCCCAATTTTTTCCTCCCTTCATTAACTTCCTATGAAACACAGACGTGACTTCTAAATATTACTAATAAGGTACAAGGCCTTGCAGTTGTTGAGCCCCTGATCAATATCCTTTTATTGGTTTCCTGTTTCCATTTTTAATACAGAGCTGACCTTTTTCTAAACTTTGGAACTTCCTTCCTCAGTTAATCAGATCTGCTGAATCTGTGGTTTGTTTTAAACGGCTGCTGTCGTTCTTATATAAAAAGTTTGTCTTATTTTGGTCATGTGCTTGTGACATTTTTGTCTATGTATCATTCATATGTATGTGTGTAAATATACACATATGTTAAACACTTTGTAGAGGTGTTCCTAGTTTTTCACTGGCACTTTTACTTAAGTAAAGGAGTACGTCTTCCACCACTGATGTTACCTGCAGCAGTTGGGCTAGAAAGATGATGACACAACTCACCCCCACACATCCCCATACTTGGCTTGGCACTCAAGGTCAAAAGGAATCATTCCCTACAAGGAATTTCATATAAATGTGTCTAAGTGTTAAAAGATTAAATGGCCACAGAACTTCCAACAGGTACAATCATAAAAATTATAGATAAGTCAAGCAGTTAGTGCCAGGAGGCATTGTTTGTCCTCATATTTAAGGACTTTTTAAACACCCTCATAGTTCTTAATTATCAAGTCAATCAACTCTACATACTATTATCTAAGATGAGTGTTTGAGTATGTACCTTACCTTTCTTATGTTTAGCATTGTTCCAATAAAAGGCAGAGGCCTTGGTCCGGGTATTCCCAGCTTTTTGAAGACCCTATATGGCAGAATGCCATACCTATATTATAAATAAGAAGTGGTTAGCTATACAGGTAACAAGTATCAATATTACAACAGTGTAATAACGACCCTGATTGTAGGACAATAAATGCGCCTCAAAAACGGCAAAAACTGACAAAGTAGCCTACTACTTCAATAGTATAAAAAAAACAAGCGTAGAAGCCACTCACAGTAATAGTATGGTGAAAAAAAGAGCCAGCAAAGTCCAGGTGGTTGCTGAAAACAATGTAAAGACAAACATTTTCAACTGGTGCCGAAACAGACATAAACAACTGGAAAGATGAGGAAGTGCGCTGGTAAGAAACCTTTAAGTGCACTTCAGTGGGAGGAGCCCGGAAACTGAACGTCATCCAGAAAGTAGCACGGGGTTACCTGGGTGGGGATGAAGGCACCGAGCGCTGCAGCTTTACACTTCACTCGCAGTTGGATCAGAAAATTCCCCGACTTAAACTCACTTTCTCTAGGATCATCCAGAAAACAAAACACCACCGTACTACGACTAGATATAAAGAGGAAGACGTTGAATAAACTATACCAATTATTGAAATAGCCTTCCAACACGGACGGTGTTATGCCATATATACTGAGAAAAAATGTGGATGCAAATCTCGGCAGTTCGTCTACAACATCTGTTCTGCAGAATAATACATCCACCTCTTAAAAAATATCCGATATATCGGATTATTTATCACGATTGATGAAACCTGCAAAGGATATTGTCGTTTTTAAACAGTAGGCTACTTGGAGATGAATACAATTCACGCAGTTGGCACATTAACTGAACGTGTTTGAGCCTCCTCCTGCACCGTAGATAACCCGGAAATAGGACCGTTGACCCCCATCCATTGATACCTCTCACGTTTCTCCAATGCTCTTTATAAACTGTCAAATTCTGGGCGTTTTCTTCATGTTGTCGTCGGAAAGTGTGCTGCATTTGTTATAATTAGAAGGTGAGGTAAGGAACAAAAATGCAGTTTACGAATGTGGATCTGTTTAGAGTAACAAATGATGCTTTTTAAGATGCCCTTGGCGTGAAACATTAGGCTACAGCTAAGCTAACGTTAGCTTCATACTGCACTATTTTTCTGCACACTAACACTGTCCCTGTAATTTAGGGGTCATACTTTTACTTCGCTTGTAACGGGACCTCACGTAAGAAAACAACAATGAAGCTTGTGCGGGGGATAGACGATATGATGTTGTCACTTAGTTAATGATAGAAGTACAGTCATTAATACTGTATTATAGAGGCGTGGATTCAACTTTGTGATCATTTTGGAGGCTGTAGTTTGTGGTGCCGTTGCATTTTATTACGTTATTCTTAAAGGTGTTGATAATATTTTGTTCACCCACTTTATATGTGTATGTCTACTACTCCATTGTCATGTAAGAAACATATATATGTGCGCTAATTAATAATACAGTTGACATGGTTTCGCTAATAAGGACAAGACTGTAATATTAACTTTAATACAAGAAGTCTATACAGTAGTTTACAAGTATTACAATTTCCCAAATAAATCAGGAAATAAACAGTAAACTTTTCTTTTTCTTCTATTTGTTATTGTTGGTTAAGTGTAGGGATCTGGCATTTTGACATAATCTGCATAGGCCAATAACTGCACTCATGAGGCCCGAAAAACAAAACAAATGTCTGCGCGTACACATCTGCAGGCAGCCTTGTCAGTTTGGCTTCTGTGGAAAAAATCTAATCTAAAACCATAACAGGTTAGTGTTAAATATATCAAGCATAGAGTTAGTTCAGGCAGGCAAAAATGTTAAGCTCAGCTCACAGCACCTCAGCTGACAGCTCAGCTGATTCCTCTCTTAGCATTCATTGGCAAATTCCATAAAAGCTGCCTTTTTTAGGCTGCTACAGCCTGCCTGCCTTTGCTGCTTCCTCTGCAGGCAGCTTGTTACCCGCCACCACCTCAGCTCCTCCTTTCAGGCCGTATCTTATTAATCATGTCATTCTGTTATGAATACCTGCTCTGTTTTGTACCTGGGGGGTCTTTACTGCTTCTCACTCGCTTTCCGTGTATCTACATGGATGGGCAGGGAGGTGCTGTCAGATCCATAACTTAACTTACTGCAGCGAAAATATCAGTTTATTTGATGAAAGTTGTTTTGATTTAACTATTGTTATACTGTAGAGAATTATGCAGTTGAATGACATAACTTCTGGCAAACTGTACCCCACTTTCCCGTAAATACCAGTCATGTTCTAAAATCTACAGCATAACCCAATGTATTTCTCTATTTCATTGATTAATTAAAATTCCATCTAAAACAACACGTTACCGGATAAAATAACTCTGAATGAATGAATGAATGAATAAAATTTAAAAATAAATAAATAAATAAAATAACTCTGAATGTACACTGATTACACATGACTTTTTTTTTTTGTCGAGAGAGACAGCTAGATTTTGAAAGAATCAAACCAAAGAAATCGCACACCCTCCCTTCAGGCCTCCGTCCAAAGAAACAAAATAATGAGCAGTGACTCCTTTCACATACATGTAGTTTGATTCCTTGTTCATAAAGAAAAAAATGGAGCAGCTTTAAACAATTTTTATTGTTACACTTTAGACTTTCTACACAATAATCCACCTAACCTTGTGGAGATAACGTTGTTGATGTGATGTCATTGTCATGCACTGTTGTAAAATGATCACAGTCCATGACACATCAGTGTGCCAAAGGCAACAATAAGTGACCTGATCAATGCAATACACAATTCACAACTTTATGAAGTAGGGCCTCCTCTGAGATGCAGCCTGAGATTAGTGGTTTTCAGTTGTTTTCTGTCTTCTGCAGGCAGATAAAATCTGCTGTATCTTAAGTAGACTTTTGTGAAACACAGATTAACAAATGTGTCAAATTCCTCTCTGGTTGTAGTAAACAGTAAATGTTACAGTAATCTGGAAAAAATGTAACGGTGAATTTCAACGGCATGTGGTAAAAGTCTTTATTAATATTTTTTTGATTTGCCAGTTCCAAATACAAAAATCACGCTGAGGGATTGGCTTCATTGTCTTTTAAGTGGCTTTATTTTAAATTGTAGGATTTGTTATGATACGAAGGTTTCTTAAAGCCCCTCCACACTGATGATCCACCCACACAGGTGTTTTTACTTACGCTTACTGATCAGATTTCTTCTCAGAACTGTGTGGAGGTATGTACAGAGTTAAGTAGACTGTACTTGCTCAACATCTCCATAATTCTCCTGTTACTTTACTTGTACATTATTTGCGCCTTTATCACTCTAAAGGGCAGTGATAGACGTCAACGGAAATAAAATGTTCAGTAATCAGCCAGTTGACATAAAACACCCGTGTGGGTGTGCAGAGCCTTTAATTGGTCTTTTTCACCTAAAGACATTTTCACATGTCACAAAGAGAAGTGGTGTAAATGATAAACCTAAGGATGGCTAAATTACAATGGGCTCCTTCAGTATCAGGGTCCTAATGTGCTCATTGTCACAGCTTACTGAGACACTTGAATATAACAGAACCATCACTAATGTTATTAATATCTGTGCTTTTCCTACTACTGAATGAGTCGAAAAATGTCTGCTGCGGAAAGTTCCTATAATACTGTACTACAATATACTACAATTCTGGACTGGTGTGGATGTGATCTGACTACTGAATACCTATTTCTTATTTTGCCTTTTTCAGAAGTAATTTGCCACCATGTTTCTCACCCTCACGCTGTTGCGGAAAGGCATCCCCGGGAAACAGTGGATCGGGAAGTATCGCCGTCCTAGACAGATCACGTGGCAGATGAAACGCAATACGCTAAAGCATCTGGAGCGCGAGGCTGAGAATGAATACTGGATCAGTCGGCCGTACATGACCCCGGAGCAGGAGCACTGCCACGCTGCCGAGCGCAGAGCCCAGGCCTGGCTCAAGATCAAGGAGACCAAATTCGCCAATTTTCCTGAACACAAGTACATCACAGATCACCTGAGTCATCTCAAAATCACCAAGACGTGGTCAAATTAATTAGAGAAGAGAAATGACATGCAAAGACTGTCTTCATAATGTGACAATATAACATGTTTGTGTGCAAGAAAGCTCTGTTTTGTTATGTGTATTAATATGAAGCGGGACATTGTATGTCCTGTGTCATAAAATTTAACCCTGTAAACTCTTTGGTTTTGGTTCTGTGTGTCAGACTGAATCCACATTGCAACAGCTGTAATTGCTCCACATTTGGTGCAGCTCCTTCAGATTAAAAAAAAAACCTGCATAAAATTTTAAACCTGATGCGTGGGACCTTACTTTAGCTCTCATTAACAAAACACACTTTCAAGTTGAGAAAACCAGGCTTCCCACTGAATAGAAAATCTCTATAATTATGTGAACTGTTGAAGTGTGTTCCATGAGGAAAAGGTTGGAGGAATTATATAAACTGTCTGGGGAGGTTGGGGCAAAATTATGTAATTATATGAATGGTTAATTTCATTAAAACACAGCAGAATACATTATACTGTTTTACATTTCATGTATTAAAGGGTTGTGACGACCAGTAAGCTCAACTGTCGCTGAAATTAGTGTTTAATCCTTTTGAACCTTTGAAGTCAGAAAAAAAGGAAGAAATACAATTTTGAGTTTCATGGAAACGTTCTCATTTCATTCATGGACAATTTTGCGACAGTGTGATTCTGTTACTGTTTAATAATGTGTTTCTATAATACCCGGTAGTCAGTGGCTGTCAGTTATGGTCATTGTGCAGGAATTTGACCCTCTATAAAACCTCACTTTGCATCTGCAATCTCCATGCAAAGATACTGCATCAATGGCTTGTCTGATAACAGTTATTGCCTTTACATACCCTTTATCATTCCAACATTAATATATCTACAGGAAGAGCCAGCAGGTGATCAGTGTCATAGTCTCCTGCACCTGACTTTCATAGCATTTTAATTATGTATCAAAGGATGTTAATAAAATGCTACTAGGTGGGTGTACCGTAAAACACAAAGCTAACACAGTCAGCCCATAAATGGAGCCATGACCTGGGGCTGTTTTGTCTTTTATTGCCAACACTCAAACCCCCTCACCATTTAGCATTCAAAAGCAATAAAGTATAAACCATTTCATAATTGTTTATAACACAATTTGATGTTGTAATCAGATATAGGACATTTTAAGTTTATAATTAGTATAACAATTGAGATTCCCTATATTTTACTTCCTTATCTGTTTATACATGAGGCCTCCACTTGTGGGTGCCCACAGGAGGAGTTATAGTTGTCGACAAATACATTCATAAACACTTGTGTGTGCTTACAACCACAATATAGTGTGAACCAACGTGTGCAATACTACTAAGTGGACAAACAACAGCATGGCTCATAAAACGCTGATATTCAGTGGATCTCTGCTGCACACAGAGCCCTGCTGGTTTCCATGATAGCCATCCAGTTTGATTCACACCTGCAACAGCAGGTTTCAGATAAACCACAGGTGTGTGAAACCTTTCTGACTCTTTTGCTGTCTGTTCAGTTTTGATGGAAATGTCACCAGAAGCATCCTTTGAGGTCAGTCTTAGAATGGGCACTGCAGGGTTTAAAATAATTGGAACAGGATTAATGAGCTGGTGAGGAAAATGTCGTCTTTGAAAGGACCAATTTTACTACTGCAGGGGTTAAAGTGGGAAAAATCCATATGTCTCTGTATTGCTGCTCTGTTGGGACACCCATTTCAAGAACCCTGCTTCTAAGCGATTAATCCATGAAAAACTAACTAAGAACAATCCTCCTGGGCCGACTAGAGGAACGTTTGCCAACTGTTTTTTTCTCAGTTTGGTTTCATACTCCAAACGGTAATGAGCTGTTTAACACAGTTCACTGTTTTAATCTTCTTAATATCACCAGCTTGAACTCTTATATTTACAGTATAAGTATTTAAACACATAATGGAACAACCAACAAAAATAAAGGAGATGAACTTGTCGACAAGCAGAATAATAAAATAATTTGCAGGAAAAAGACACATCTGTACCTTTCTCTCCTGCATTCAAGATTTTACTCAAGAAAAAATACAGAAACATTATCAGCGAGATATACTTAAAGTATCAAAAGTATTTATTTGTTCTGCTGAAAATGTCCCTTGGCTGACTTAAATGTTATATTAGCTTTTCATTACTAATGCAACAATGTGAAAGCAGAATTTCACTGTTGTGGCTCATCGAGGTGTTGTTCCCACAAAGTAAGAAAGTTCTGTGTCACACATTTATATAGTTTAAATTTATTTTTGGAATATTTTCTAATCCTCACTTTTTCATGAATTGGACAATTTGACCTGTTTGAGACTTAAACTGTTATATAAATGAATTCATGAAATCACTTTTTGGTGAAACTAAAAACTCAGACAAGCCAAACAAGTTCAGCAATGCTTCAAAAAATCTTAATTCTCAAAGCCCGACTTTTGGACTGCAACAAAAACTGGAGACACACGGATAAACAAAATAACAAAGTGATTTATTTATACAACAGAATAAGTTAAATTAACCAAAACCAATGAGTGGGAGGAATCTGTAAAGTCATCAGTGTAGGGAGTGGATTGGTGAACATGTGCTGCATGGATGTTATAAAAACAAACTGCAAAACAAAGAAAAGAAATCCAGATGTGAGATGAGGAGGTCCAACCAAAAGTGACTGCTGCTCTGGCTTATGCATGGGGCACACCGGGCCCAGGTGTGCCCCATGCATATAGCCTAAGCAAGCTAGTGGAGTAGAAGTATATATAAGTCGCAGACAGTTACTCAGTACTTCAAATTGTATTTAAGTAGCCTTCTTGAGGAAACGTATTTAGCTCCACCAGTGGAGTTTGTGCACATGGTTTTGACCAGCAGATGGAGCTCCTGGTGCTGTTGGTGATGCATGTGGAGGAGCAGAGCCACGGCCCCTCCTGTGCGGTGCGCCCATGCGTTGTTTTCGTCTCATGGATGATGAGGTGCGTGTCTCAGAGGCGCCAGCGCACCGCACCGGGCTGAGGTATAGCTAATGAGCAGACCAGACAAACGGTCCCTCTCCTAAGAAATCCACGCGGCGTCTCAGAGCCGGAGAGACCATGAAGGCAAGCGGCAGACTGAGGAGTAAACGACAATTTCCCTCGGGATAAATAAAGTTCTATCTTATCTTATCTCTTAAAGATTCACCTGCAGACGACTGAGTGAAGAGGCAGGATGGCGGGGGGTCGCAGGGGACTTGTGGCCCCTCAGAATACTTTTTTGGAGAATATTGTGAGACGGTCGAACGGTAAGGATGCGGATCAATGTGGTGCATTGAACTGAAAGATTTAAACATTCAAACTGAATCTAGACTGTCTCTGAAACCAGGCACAGGAATTTGTATGACAGCCTCAGTGATCAAGCCAATTAACTAAGTGATGAAATGTAAAAAATGAAGGAGACTAATTAATGACAAAACCCTCACCTTCATGTGCGTTGAAAAGTTTTGGTTTCGAAATCTCACGATTCTTGAACATGTGGAGAGCAAAAAAGACATCAGGTTAAATTTAGTACTGATAACATCCACTGGAAGTCTTAATTGAAGGATTATGTGCACCAGACATGTCGTGTCTAGATACTTGATTTCTACAGCTTTCATGCGTAGGCAAGTCAAGTGTAACATAGGCTAACTCATTTCTTTAAACACGTAAAGGTGCAGAATCTATCAGAGAAAACGACCCCCCTTTAAGCTATTGGTTTGAAATGAAACCATCAGGCTTTTGTCGCTAATGTCCAAATATTAACCAACAGAATATGAGTAGTCTAGGCCTTAGTGTTGACTAGGAGGTGTGTTTGTCCAATCAAATTCAAGCTGTGCCTAATTAAGACCATATACATTTATCTTTTTTTTAATCTTTATTTTGTGGATAATAACGCCACTTAAACAACATTAAGCCCTGAAATACTTAATCCATTTTCTGATTTCCATTTTCTGATTTATAAGAACAGGCATTACCAATCAAATCACCATCAACCAGCAGACAGGATTTTGTTGTTTTGTGGTAAAATGGATTACAATGGTTGAATCTCGACTGCCATGGCTTCATGGTTCAACTAACGTTGTTTGAAAAAGTCAGAAAACTCTCAGCATACATAACAGATCTCTCAGTTTCAACCATTAATCAAAACATAATAAATATCACAGTATCAGCAAATATTTCAACACACATTTCTTTTAATCTTCTTACAAAAAGTATACCTTGTTCTGGCCAATTAGTGGACAGTAGCTATGCTGTCCAGATGGGAAGACAAATAACCACATTTGAAAGCTGAAACGTGCCAAACTCTTACAGTATTTCTGGACATTTGGGTGTCAGAAATCCTTTGGCCTTTCTGTATTATTAGATCCAATAGGAAGTGACAGGACAGACTGGAGAGTTATGACACTCGACAGCGAGCTGTGAAACAGAACCAGCAGCTTTTGTGAGTGTGTGTTGGTCCCCCATGCATGGGAACAATTTTGGATACACGTCAGCTAATTGGCTTTAATTAATTCCTTTTTTTAATGGGGGGTTGGTTAAAGTGAGTTTTCTTTCAGTCATTTATGATCAGTGCCCCCAGAAGTATACCAAACCAACATGTGTATCTGTGTATGCACTCCTTTGGGCTTACTGTCAGTCTGCCCCTGTTGCACATCTACATTAAAATGTGTTATGACAGAAGGGAACAACTTGTTCAGAAAGGGTGAAGGCATCTGTCCAGACTGAGATTCTGTTTAGATGAACAATGTGAGAATCTGGTGTATAAATATATTAAAGTAGGAAAATCCACCCTTTAAAAACAAAAACCCATGCACATGTTTTTCTTATGACCTTGGGCGGTCCATGGATTAGCAGTAAATCTCCCTCGCAAGCTAGAAACAAAAGAGCGAAGACTGTAATCTGCAGGATGCCACTGACAGACAGTGGTGTGACTTGGGAGAGACACAGTTTTGGGTGGGCGTTTACAAACAATGAGAGGTTCCTTTTTTGTAACTTTCAGTCATTCATTGTTAAATAACCAACTCACCACATTTTGACAACTGAATTTGTGTTTACATTTTTGCCACAATTGTAGATTTTCATGTCCTGTAGTTCATCACCTAAATGTAAATCAAAACATCAGGAATAACATACTGTAAACCTGTCATCGACATTTTTCTCAGCAGACATTTTTACTTGTCATATGTGCACAGGTGCAACTGATCGCATTAATGATGGCTCTGTTCATTCTAGAGTCCACTGAAATCATCAAAGTTATAACGTAAGCTACTCATATATCCTATGTAGTTATACTATAAAGTTTTTTTGAATGTATGTTGAAACATTGACTGTTGAAGAGCAGCAAAGAAAATATTATCAACTAAGGCAAAGTGAAGCAGCTGCTAGCATGAATAGCATACTGACGCTGCTGGTTAAAGTTGTGCACAATTAACCTTCGCAGTTCTGCTACACTGCTGCATATTTTAAAGTCGGTTAAAGAGGTAGTATT